AATTCATACATTTCACATAATATTTCCTCTAAATTCTTGTAGGTGGTAGGTGTACTAAAAGTTAAAGCTTTTGAAATTTGATCGATTACATATTTAGTTCCCGGTAAATTATATCGAAAGTCCATTACGCATGCTAAAGGAAATAATATATGCAAATCTTCCCAATATTTTCTAAATTTTAATTCCATAGCATATATAATTGCACTGAAATCAGAGTCATTTTTATATTTATGAAATGTTCTTGCAATTATATAGAAGCGTTCAAGCACCATACAACTAGTAGGACAGTGAACGCCAGATAAAATATTTGTGGAATCATAAAAAGATGTCAAAAAGTCATAGTTAAAACCCAATCAAATTCATTCAACATAGAGTCGTTATCATTTTTAATCTGCATATTGTTATAAAAGTCAGTTATTAAATGTTCAAAACCTTCGCATGACTTTAATAATAAGTAAGTCGAATTCCATCTATGGCCTACGTCGCTACCAAATGATCTAGCATTCGCCCAATTTCGACACAATAATCCTCAAATACCTGTTTTCGACTACGGGAGGTCGTGATATATATTAGTGCATTCTTAATCCTTTGAAATTCATCCTTTATATGTTTTAAATCATCTTACCCAATTAAATTCAAAATATGGTATATACAACGAATATAAAACAAATACTAACTGAAATCAAGTTGCAGTACCCTCACACAATTTATCTACAACAATTTTATTAACATTAGTATTATCGAAAGTAAAAGAAAGAATTTTATTCTCGCAACGATATTCTCTAATAATACTTATAATAGCATTATATATATTATTAGCGTTGTTAGGAAACTCAATAATTCTAAAAGCAATAATTTTCTTATACATACACTGAAGTGGGTCTATTTAGTGTGCAATTGCAGCTATATACACCCTTTTATTAATCACTTCCCATACGTTCGAAGTTAAAGATATAAGTCCCCATATTTTTGTAAATTCATAATTAATTGTTGTTTTGAATCAACAAAATATTATATTGTTTCTGAACTAAAGTGTTTCAACTTACTCCAACATACGTTGGTTGTAACATATTTTCACGTACGAGACGAAGTGTTAGTTATCTACTATTACTAGAGGCAAATCAGCACCGGCAACAAGTTTCACCATTTCAGTTCGAGCTTTCTCCTCCGATAGACCAACGTGGACAGGGGCAAAGTCGTAGAACTGGCGCCTAGACTATCAAATTGCAATTGTGTTTGACCGGTTGGAAGAAGTCCATGTTTCGTCGAACTTGCTTTGTAGTGGCGGTAAAGGTGGGTGATATCAATTCCTTTTTGCCATGCCAATATTTCTTGGCAGTATTTACATTCCGCTTTAAATTCGGCAACTCCATTGACGAATTTTTCCATTGAAATCAACTTGAAGTGATTTCAACACTTTGCTTTTCCCCCCCCCCCCCTTTCACTTTCCCCTCGCATCCGGAATGTTTAATTTAGCTTTTTCTTCCTCTTTATGTTTTGTTTCGGGAACGTCATCATCATCCAAATCAATTGGATCATTGCTTCCATGAATTCCCAAATCTAGAATATTTCAGGTATAGTTACGTTATTTAGACCAAAAAATTCATTCTAAAATTGACTTTTTGATGTTATAGGCGATTCGCCTCCTATACCGAACAAGCTCTCAACAAATAAGTGTGGATCTATTTATTTGTGATGAAATCAAAATGTAGTAACTAGTAAGTATGAATGTAAAACTGTAAATGTATAAATGTAACAAAAATAAATGTAGACTTGAGAGTTGAGAGAGAGATTATGTAAATGTAATTGAGAGTTAAGACTTGAGAAAGACTATTTGTTGTAAAGATGAAAATAGGGATGCATGGGTATTTATAGGGAAAAAATTGGGAAAAAGAAATTATGTGGCCGTTTTGGCCACTATTAGTGAACTATGGTACAGCGACCGAATACGGTCAGTTTTTGCTGTACCGAATACGGTCAGTTTTAAAAAATTGACCGTATTCGTTCGCTATTCCTACACAGGCTACAAGCCAAGCTCATTTCGTGGGCTCGCAAACGAGCGTTCGTCCATTTGGCGAAACGCGCGGTCAAGCTCGACTTAGGCCCTCTTTATTTTACGAGCCCGACTTCAATGAGCAGAGTGGCTCTCAATTGCCAGCCTCACTTAAAGTTGGGTGTTTACTCTTGGAAGAGGTGTTGTTTCTGGAAATCAAAGAAATAGACGTGCACAACACACTCGACTGTGAAATTTGAATTTGTAGCACTATCGAAAATCGGGAAAGAAATTGAGTGGCTTAAGGGTCTCCTTTATGAGATACCTTTGGGACCGAATAATACATCTTCAATACCTATCATGTGTGATAGTCAAACTAGGTTGGTAAAAGTATACAATGGAAAGTCTAGACATATGAATTTTAGACATGGCTACATAAGAAAATTAATCAATGATGGAATAATTTTCCTAATTTATATGAAGTCAATCAAGAATTTAGCAAATCCTTTAATTAAACTTCTAAATAGAGATTTAGTAGTGCCTACTTCGAGTAGGATGGGGTTGAAACCCCCTAAACTAAAAGGTCCACCAATGATAGCAACTCTACTTGTTATTACTCAAAAAGTAATCCACAAATTCAAAGGGTAATAAAAAGTCATTTGATATGTAGATAGTTTCAGTATTATTAAAATCCGCAATAACCCTATCCTAATAAGTAATACTGGTTGTTACTGAAGTGAAAGATGAGCTTTAAGGTTTTATTGAAGTTCAGCAATAAGTACAAGTATTTCTAAAAGTAACAAGGATATCGAAAGAACTTCACCTAGATAAATTTCAAGATAGTGCTGGCTCAATATCTACAATGTTTGTTAAAATCCTACAAATCATTTACCAAAATCCCTTGAAGCATCTCATTCTATTCGAGATGGGACAAATATCGATTTAAGACCAAGATATCGTGTTCGTGCCTTCATCTTGATATTCTGTTCCCGATTTTTTATTCCTTGTTTATTCTCCATTTCTCTCTTGTGAAAGATATAATTTCCAACACAAGATTGATAGCTCAATGGCTTGGAACAAATAGTTCTTAGCCTTAAAATGTTTCTAATGTTGGCCTTCATTTTTTCCCTTTGTGCCAAGACCATGTTTTGATATCCCTTTAGAAACAACTTGCTAATAATTTTAAGTTTACGTGAATCCATCAACGTTTTAGTTTTAGGCAAACTAAACTATTTTGAAGCACTTTGATTTAAATTTCAATTTTTACTAACTACTCTACACTGTCAAATCATTTACCAAAAAAATTGTGAAAAAAAAATTAAATAAATTAAAATTTATCCAACTCATTTAAAATTAAACACGTTCCAATTAAAAAGGCACATTCATAGACCATAGTAGACCCAAACCAATTAAATCTAGTACCCAACCTAGAGGCGTCAATTTGGCATGTCGAATCGAGCAGCCTGTGTTCGACTTGAAAAAAGCCCAAGTCTCCTGCCACTCTTAAGGCTCCCAAGTGCCAACCCGTCTGGCTCGACAAGTCAAATTGGCCATTGTTGGCTAGTGACGAACTGAGCCTTTATATAAAATAAATAAATTACTGTAGCAACATAGCAGGCAGCTACATGGGCTTCCTCGATACACAGGCGCTAAAAAAAATTCCTGCTACACAAGTTGCCTGTGTTCCAGGTAGCTACACGAGCTGCCTTTGTATATATTTAAAAAAAAAAAAAGTGAGTTGGCTTGACTCGGTTCGATAAGACCCGATCCAAAAGCTCTAGTCGAACCTAAATTTTTTGGTCGACCAAACCTCGACTCGACTGGGGCAAAAAAAAAAGACCAACAGTTTTTCTCAAGCTGAGATCCTTAGCCTTAAGTTTTGGCTAACAAGCCGACTCTACTCAACTCGTTAACATCTATAATCCAACCCAAATAAATCAAATATTTGATTAGACAATTACCTGCCCCTCGAGGTATATTCAAGTGGTGCAAAGGACAAGGGTGAAATATACTCAATCTTACTGGTAGTCGCAATGTGAGGATTCGATTCCTGAAACATGAATTGGGATTTTTTGTGGACACCAGTGTACAGACAACTCTTATTCTTTGACTTACTGGGACACATCCCAATAATCCAACCCAGTGTACAAACAACTCTTATTCTCTGACTTACTGGGACACATCCCGCTATTAATCTCTTACGATGCTCTAGAGACGGGACACTAAGAGACGTTTAATATTGGGATTTAACCTTTTTTTTTATTAGACAATTACCTTCCTAAGTAATTAATAAACAATCATAAACGTCCCTCAAGGCATAACCCAGTGGTGCAAAGGATAGGAGTAAGGTTACCTTAAAGCCTTACTGACAGTCGCAGTGTGGGAGGGTTCGATTCCTGAAACATGAAATTGAACTCCTTGTAAGCACAACGTACAGGTAGCTTTTATTTCCTAACCTGTTGGGACACATTCTTCGAGACAGTGAGGACATGAGGTTCAATCTTTTTTTTTTTTTTTATAATAATCATAAACAATGACCATCAAGATCGCTGAACGATGGTTGTCAAATCATATTCACCAGCCATCTGCCCATCCATCACAACTTAGTAAACAATTCAATTTGTAAAATTTGCAATAATATCTTCAACGTAAATTTTGAATTATGTACATTTGAAGGCATTTACGATTGAACATACATTAATTGAATTAATATAGTTTTACTACAGATGTTAAAAAAATTAATTATGACACTAAACACGCCAAATAATCGAAATTTATTTCATAATTTAAATTTGAACCCTCAGTTTCAACTAACATAAAATTCTGAATCGGAAACCATGTCCAAGCCTATTTAAGGTCTCCCCCAAGAGATTTCGAAACCATGTCCAAGCCTATTTCGAGTCTACCCCAACGAAGCTAGTTCGGTTGTTGTATCCATTATGATGCTGACATTTCTTTATATTGTTTGGATTCTTTAATTCAATTTTATTTTCACAATACAATTACGTAAAAAAGGAGAACTCATAAACAGAGATCCAAATTAATAAATATTGTAAAAATCACAATTTACTCCACTCATAATTCTGTAAATACAGATTCATGCATAGTGAAAGTAACAAACGAGAACCAGCGGTCAAAAACGATAGTAACACCAAACATAGAACCCAACATACGATCAAAATCACGAACAAAACAAGCAAATGACTAAACCATCACGAAACCCTAAATTTAATTCCTCCAGCTGCCATCGGAATCACCACCTCTGTTATACCCACGGTCACCACCATATCCCCGGCCGCCGCCGCCGCCGTACCCACGGTCACGGCTTCCACCGTATCCACCACCATATCCACCTCCGTTGCCACCTCCGTAGCCACTATCGCGACGGCCTCCACCGTATCCGCCGCCACCCTCACGACGACCACCGCGGAATCCACCGCCTCCTCCGCCGCCGCCGCCGCCACTGCCGCGAGATTGAGCCTCGTTGACAGTAATACTCCTTCCATCAAGATCCTGACCATTCATTCCTTCAATTGCGTCCCTCATCGATTGCTCGTCCTTGAAGGTTACGAATCCAAACCCCCTCGATCTTCCAGTCTCGCGGTCATTAATAATCTAAATCAAAAAAATTCAAAAGAAAACATCAGATCTAAACAGATCTATCAAATATACAATAAAAAAAACTGAAAGGCGATTCGATCCTCATCTCCTGGTAACAAAGGTAGATGGAACGTACCATTTCAGGGGAAAATAACAGTAACACAAACAGTAACTCAGTAACAGTAACACAGTAACTCAGTAACAGTAACATAGTAACAGTAGTCAACAAAGCCGAATCGAGACGGATCCGATCTCTGCGACTAACGGACCTTCGATTCGATGACTTCGCCGAACTGAGAAAAGGCTTGCTCAAGGGATTGGTCTGTGGTGGCCCAGGCTAGACCACCAACAAAGCATCTGTACTCAACATCTGCAGACGCCATCGATAATTTCAGAGAATGAAACGGAATTCGAAAAGATGGAGAAGGGTTTCAGAGAAAGGGATGAGAGCAGATCTGGGAAAATACAGTGTTTATATAAGCGGCAAAGTCTAGGTTTGGAGCTAGGTTTCCTTATGGTAAACCGGGTGCGCATTGCGCTTCTCAGCTTTTTCCATTATACCATGGTTAAGGGGGAGTAATTTACGTCGGCCGTGTTTGGCCGCACAATTTCACTTTCTTTTCTTTTGCAACTTTGAAACGCCTTTTACGGTCTAGACTCTAGACCGTATTATGATGGTCAAAATATCGTGTGTCATCTTTTACACGCTTTTTCATATATATATATATATATATAGAACACTAAATACATAAAAAGAAAATAATACAAAAGTTTCGTACATATAGACCTCATTTGAGAGTGATTTTTCATTCAAAAAAATTGATTTTTTGATAGTTATTTCACTATTTTAGCCGTCATTTTTTATTTCTTCACTTACAGACGATCCTCAATTTCCCTCTAACGATTAAAAAATCAATTCTTAAATTCACTACCGAGGAAGCCCATATTTTTATTTAGCCTTGGTCGCAATTTTTCACTTGAAAAGATTAATTTCTTAATTGTTATTTTACTATTTCAGTCATTATTTTTTACTTATATATATATATATATATATATTACTTTTATTTTATATTACTACTCAATAAATTTCATCCTTCATACCAAATATATAACTCAACTTTTTATTTGTTTTGGAGGAAAAAACGGTAGCTTCTTCAATTTTAGGGAAAAAATGAAGTCATAATCTCATAATTTTGGAAAAAGACATGGCCGATAATTGGATGAGATTGGAGGAATATTATAGGAATATACGTAAAACAAACAATTGCCCTAACTCGGGTTAGAAAGATATTTATGTGGGTCCACTTTCACGTGATGCACCGGTGGCGGATAGATAAAGCAATAGATATTTATTAAATTTGAATCTGAATCCTTGTATTCCAAGTAATTTACATTTTCTACCACATTTTTGTATTATTCTCGTTGTAATAATAATTTTGAAAGTGAAAATTCGCTAGCTGGTCCCCGTCTGGTTAGACTTTTATAGTACGTGGATCTTTAGCATATTCTTTCAATTATATTGATGACAAGGTTGTGAGGATCACAGTTCAAACTCGAAAGGATAATGTGTTGCGAATTGAACTGTTGAATCAGATGAGAATCGTTATATTCTACCAAATGTTAATGATTAGAATAATTTAGACTTCATTTGAGCCTTATTATTTCTCATTATATTAAATTAAATTTTTCTCTCTCTTACTCTTAACTACATAATTTTCAATAAAATAATATTACACGTAAATAAAAACTTTTCAATCACTCATTTTTCAAAAAAATACTATTCATCTCATTATAATTTACAAATAATGGGGCTCAAACGGGGGCTTAATATATTTCATTTAGTTTAAAAAAAATTATCTAAATATGATGAAAATCTAATTGCTATCATGCCTAGGACAGGGTATTTCTTGTCCCAAAATAGTAGATAAACAATGCTACTCTTAACTACATAATTTTCAATAAAATAATATTACACGTAAATAAAAACTTTTCAATCACTCATTTTTCAAAAAAATACTATTCATCTCATTATAATTTACAAATAATGGGGCTCAAACGGGGCTTAATATATTTCATTTAGTTTAAAATAAATTATCTAAATATGATGAAAATCTAATTGCTATCATGCCTAGGACAGGGTATTTCTTGTCCCAAAATAGTAGATAAACAATGATGTCATGTCATAATAATGATTCAAGAGCATTTGTTGTCAACATTCTAGAGAAGTAGTAGTTGAACAAGAATAAAGCCCTTCTATTAGAAAATGTTTGACACTTTGGTAAACATATATTTACATGTAAGTACGACCCATGTAAATTAAAAAAAGGCCAAAAAAGTGCTCCCCTATTGTGAGTGCTAACGCCCTCCCTGGCAACATAACCTGATTGGTTGAACAATTTGTCACCTATTGAGGGCTATTGATGACTTCAGCAAATGAGTATTTTTAAGGTGGTCAATTTTAAATCCTAATCGCATATGTTGACTTCACTTCCTCCTTTACATATACGCTATCTACACACTTTGAAATGCATGCTATAGGTGCAGATCAAAGCTTCTCCAAACAAAAATAGGAAAGCTGTGATCATGGGAGCCCCAACACTCTAGTCAATAAATGAATAGATATTTGAGTGTGTGAGAAACACAAATGGAAAAGAAATGTGGGAATAGAGTTTGATTATTAATTACAATTAGCTTGAAATTGCACAAAGTTTTAGCACTTATTGGCAAATGAATGAAACTATGGTCTTTCAGATGTTTGACATGTGGTTTCATTCCAACGACTCACAAGTCATGACACCTTGAAGTTACACCATCATAGTCTTTGATTTTTCATACACTGTCTAAACAAAAAAGATGAGATTTGATCCAAACTACCATGAGAGAAATATCGCATCAATTAGATAGCTCATAAGCTCAAAGTATCAAGTTGCAACTAGCACAGGGCATTAGGGATCGAACCTCAACTCCCTCGTAATCAATAGGCTTATAGTGCAACTAAGGTTGTTCCCCCCTAATCGTCTCTGATATGGTCGTTGATGAAGCATTGGGTTGTGCCCTCAATGCTCAAAAAATTGGTTGAGCAAGGTGGTTGTATATGGCCTCATTGCTTTAGACGAGAGAATGGATTATTAGAAAATGTTTGACACTTTGGTAAACATATATTTACATGTAAGTACGACCCATGTAAATAAAAAAAAGGCCAAAAAAGTGCTCCCCTATTGTGAGTGCTAACGCCCTCCTTGGCAACATAACCTGATTGGTTGAACAATTTGTCACCTATTGAGGGCTATTGATGACTTCAGCAAATGAGTATTTTTAAGGTGGTCAATTTTAAATACTAATCGCATATGTTGACTTCACTTCCTCCTTTACATATACGCTATCTACACACTTTGAAATGCATGCTATAGGTGCAGATCAAAGCTTCTCCAAACAAAAATAGGAAAGCTGTGATCATGGGAGCTCCAACACTCTAGTCAATAAATGAATAGATATTTGAGTGTGTGAGAAACACAAATGGAAAAGAAATGTGGGAATAGAGTTTGATTATTAATTACAATTAGCTTGAAATTGCACAAAGTTTTAGCACTTATTGGCAAATGAATGAAACTATGGTCTTTCAGATGTTTGACATGTGGTTTCATTCCAACGACTCACAAGTCATGACACCTTGAAGTTACACCATCATAGTCTTTGATTTTTCATACACTGTCTAAACAAAAAAGATGAGATTTGATCCAAACTACCATGAGAGAAATATCGCATCAATTAGATAGCTCATAGGCTCAAAGTATCAAGTTGCAACTAGCACAGGGCATTAGGGATCGAACCTCAACTCCCTCGTAATCAATAGGCTTATAGTGCAACTAAGGTTGTTCCCCCCTAATCGTCTCTGATATGGTCGTTGATGAAGCATTGGGTTGTGCCCTCAATGCTCAAAAAATTGGTTGAGCAAGGTGGTTGTATATGGCCTCATTGCTTTAGACGAGAGAATGGAAAACGAGTCAATCAAGTTGTAACTCGCCTTGAAGAGATGTGTTTTCATGATTGCTTCTTAATTGAAGCCACATGTAGGGATGGACAAACTCCTTAATCAAACTAAGCGATGCAATTTAGTAATTGTTAGGTTAAACTGGATAAAGAATATTATAATTGAGAACCGACATTTTCAGTTTGATCCCATTCTTGTTCTAGATCCATATGTGAACAACCAAATTAGTCAAAAAATTTAGAGGTTGTTCTCTTCCTGTTTGAGTTTCATAATTTTGAGTTTTGTGCTTTGAGTGTTCATTTTGAGATTGTTGAAAACGCGTTCATTTTGTCATTTTAGAAAATTGTTTCTCAAAACACGAAATTGAAGAATGCATTTACTTGTAAATTTTGAGAATAATTTTTTATGACATTTTCTTCAAAAAACCACCACCACCGCAAAGCTGCCACGACTAGAATCACCGTTGCGAACCAGTCAACACCACCATCGCAACCACCACAACCAATCACCACCACAAAATCGACTGTCGGTACCACCACCATCAACACCACTACCAAAATCATTATCGTCAACCATCGGTACAACCATCAACGAAAACCAAAATCGCCACCACCATCAACCAAACCCGAAATCGCCACCACAATCAACCAAAACCAAAGAACCCCCAACAGTGAGAGAGAGAAGAAATCAAATCACCACCACCTTCAACACCCATCACCCATCGTCGTACTGCAAACGTCAGGCCTAACCATAGCAGCGTCGCGAGCGATAAATAGGTCATGACGTTGTTATGGTTTGGAGCGAAGGTCGCGATGCTACTGTAGTTTGGAGCATTGTCGCCTCTCCACACAGCGCTAGCACCTGTGCTACTAGAATCAACCGCTCCTTCATCGTCAACGTCAAGAAGGGAGAAGGAGGAGACGGCCCAAAGGATAGAATGAAGATGGAAGTCTCACGACCATTCAATTTTTTCTCTCTCTCCTGTTTTGCGTGTTTTGGATTTTGGGCTTGTTTTTAGTATTTTCAACAGAAAACACTCAAAACAACCCTTTGGTCGTTTTTTGTTTTCTTCATAAGTTTTTTTTTTTCTTTTTTTTTTTTCGAAAACTCGTTTTTGAAAAAGAACACGTTTTCACCGTTTTGAAAATCGAAAATAGAAAATGGCCAGAAAATGCCAAAGAGAACAACCCCTTATTTTTTGAAATTGAATTTATAGAATATTTTAATTTTGTCTAAAATAATCTTCCCATTCACTAATTGCCCAACTGTCTATTTGTTAGATTAAGTTGTGTTGTTCAAACTTTGTATATATTGGTTAATGTATATTATCTCACAATCTGTTTTGGCTTTAAATCATGACTATATTTGTTATTTTGTAAGATGTAAATTGGCATATATTATGTTACTGATGTATTGTTTCAAACTCTAGGAAAATGGAATGGAAATATGAAAATATTGTCAATTTAATTATGGTATAGACTCGAACTAAATCAAACAAAATCAAAACAAAGCG